TGATAGCCATTCTTTCTGGGGTGAGATGATATCTCAATGTGGTTTTAATTTGCATTTCACGAATGGCTAGTGATGTGGAACATTTTTTCATATATTTATTTGCTTCTTTAATTTCTTCCTCTGAGAAGTGTGTGTTCATCTCAGATGTGTGGCTTTTTTCTTGAAAATGTGAAGTTAGTATAGGTAATTTATGAAACTGGAGAAAGACAAAATACATTCTCTTTTATATTACACTCTTCTTAATTGTCTTTAGACAGTAGTAAATGCACAAAGCATAAAAATTATTAACCTAATTCATGTGTTCAACAAATATTTATTTATTTATTTATTCATTTATTTATTTAATAAAACAGGCATTTATTTAAGGTATGGTATCCACAGACCAGATAACTTTTGAACTGTTTCAGGGTTAACCAAGTTCATAAAAATATTTTGAAGACAGTTGCATTTCACAGACTTCATTAAGTGATTACTTCTTTGCCCATTCTTCTCTTTCTTTTCTTTCCCGAATAACCTCTTTGAGATATGGCTCAAGGTAGAATTTATCCTCCTCATATTTTGCCCACTGCTCTTTAGGCAAGATCTGATGCTTCATGCTCAGGTCCAGGGTTCTCTTAATGCGAAGCATCCTGTCATTATAAAGGTTTTCTGGAAGCCTTCTTATGGCTTCTTTTACATCTTCATCTTCACATATTGTATCATCTCGCATTAAGCCCAGCTTATTGAACCCTGCAGCACTGTAATACCACTTCCAGATACCTTCCAGCCACCGGCTTGATGCTGCAACAGCCGGGCGGCCTGCCATCTTGACCCAAGAGCGAAGCCCAAATATTTATTTATACCAGCCAGCTATTTTTTATGAAATTGACACATTATGAGATTTAACTATTATATTGAAGTAAGTAAAATTGTTATTTTTTCTAGGTTTAATAAAAGGTTGAATATTAGTGAGTTGATATAGTTTAGCCTTATTCATGAATGGAATTTCTTTTTCTTTTTTGTTTATATTTTTTGAGACAGTGTCTCACAGTGTAGTTCAGAGTGGCCTTGAACTCACATTGATCCTATCTAAATCTCCCAGGTGCTGGGATTATAGGCTGGAATTTCTTAAGTCAGACATCTCCTGAAATATCAATTTATTCTGTTTTACTATTTGCTATTATAAAAGCTGTTTGAAATTTTGAATTGATGATTTTTTTCTTTTTTGTTGTTGTTGCTATTAGTAATGGTCTGCTTAGAATAACTGATAGAGTTGTCTTTTAATTTTCCAAGAGATATTTGAGTTTATGGCACTAGGGATAAACCTCAATGGTACAGCATTTGCCTAGCAGGGTTCAATCCCTAGCATGAGAGCCGGGGGAAAGAAGGAGGAGGAAAAGGAGAAAAAGAAGGAAGAAAATGACTGAATTCGTTTATTAAAGATGAGAAATTTTGGGGGTCAGGGAGATAGCTCAGTGGAATAAGTGCTTGCCTGGCAAGTTGCAAGAGCCTGAGTTCAACCCCCGGTTCCACAAAAAAAAAAAAAAAAAAAAGATGAGAAATTTTTAAATGCTTGGTGTTTTCTCTTCCTTTTTTTCAGTGATATGTGATTTGGTTATGTTTTCAAAGGTTTGTGCTTTCTGGAAATCTGCATGGTGGCTCTGTGGTAGCAAGCTATCCTTTTGATGATTCTCCACAACATCAGGCAACTGGAATCTATAGCAAAACCTCAGATGATGAAGTCTTCAAATACTTGGCAAAAGCTTATGCTTCAAATCACCCTATAATGAAAACTGGTGAACCTCATTGTCCAGGAGATGAAGATGAGACTTTCAAAGATGGGATCACAAATGGTGCACATTGGTATGATGTGGAAGGTATGCAAAGAATGATTTGCCATATTTTCTCTCTTGTTCATTTAACTTTCTTAAGTATATTCTGAGTAGAAGAAAGGACACTTTGCAGAATTCTAATGTTTATTAATCTCTTATTTCTTGCCCAGTGCAGTGCCACACACCTGCAATCCCAGCTACTCAGGAGGCTGAGGCAGGAGGAATCTTAATTTCAAGGCCAACCTGGGCAATTTTGCAAGCCCCTGTCTCACAATAAAAAAATAAAAAGGGCTGGAGATATAGCTCAGTGGTACAGTGGCCAGGGTTCAAGCCCCATTACCACAAAAACAAATTTTAAAAGCCATTTTTTTTTTATTTTCAATTTTGAAATGCACAGTAGAACTTAAAGAAGACCACATGAACACTTTTATATCCTTTATTTAAATATACTATGATCTTACCTACATGATTTGCCTCCCCACTTCCACATATATACAGGGAGCCCTCTATGTGCATGCATACATACACAGATAATCTTTTGCCATAAATAAGTGACAGATTTCATGATTTATCTGTGATTTCCTCAGTACATATTTCCCAAGTAGAGGGACATTCTTCTGTACAACTGCATATCATTACCATAATTGAGAAATCAGCAGTAATTCAAGACTTATCCCACATGGTTTTTGTTTATAAAATGGGAGTCCATAACTCCCATTTTCTCTAACATCTGAAGATACCTCTTGCAGCTCTTTTTCCTCCAGCTTCAGGATCCCACAAGGTTAAGCCTTTGCATTTGACTCTTTTGAAGAGTACAAACCAGTTCAATGGGGCATTACATAATTCTATAGTTGACATTTACTTCATATTATCAGGTTTAATTTTCCATTAGGTATACCACATCACATCACATCAAAAGACTTATAAAGCTAGGCTATAAATGGCTAAATTGAACAGCTTAGTTAATATGACTACCAACCAGATCTCTCCATTTTACATCAAGGCTCAATTTCCTTTTATATTTTAATCTGTGTGATGATTGTGATATTCTATATTTTTTTATTGTGATAAAAATAGATATCATAAAATTTGCCATTTTAGACATTTTTAAATGTAGAATCCAGTGGCATTAGTTATTTATAATGTCATGCAACTGTTACACTATCTAGTTCTACAACCTTTTTGTCACTCCCACCACTTTGTAACGATTAAATAATACCCTCCCACACTGAGAACCTCTAATCTACTTTCTATCTCTGCACTTGCCTATTCTAGATATTTCATATAACTGATGTCCTCTAATATATGTCCTTTGACATCTAGCCCATTTCCCTTAGTATAATATAGTCAAGATTCATCCATTTTGAAGCATTTATCAGAGCTTCATTCCTTTTTATGGTAATATTCTTTGTATGTATATAATACAGTTATCCATTCATCCATTGATGAACACTGGGTTTCCATCTTGCTACTGTGAATAATGGTGAATAATGTCATGAACATTTTTAGACAAGTATCCAAGTCCTTGTTTTCAATTCTTTTGTGTAGAGCTGGGGAGATCACTCAGTGAACTAAGAGCCTACTTTGGCAAGTGTAGGGACGCAGGGACCAGGGTTCGATTCCCAGTCCCACATGCCATGCCAGCCTTGCCCCTGGGGCGTGCTGAGCCAGCAACTGAGTCCAGGTGTGGTGGCGCACACCTGTAATCCAGCACTGGGGAGGCTGAAAACAGGAGGATCATTACAAGTCCAAGCTAGTGAGACTTGTACCAAATACACAAAATGAGAAAAAAATTCTTTTGGGTATATAGGTAGGAGTGGCATCACTGGGTCATCTAGTAGGTCAGTGTTTGGGGTTTTAGTTTCTCTGAGATAGGGTCTTATTATGTAGCCCAGACTGGCACTGAACTATATAGCCACGCTGGCCTTTAACTTGTCCTCCTGCCTCAGCCTTCCTAGTGTTGGGACTGCAGGCATGTGCTACCATGCCTGGCTATGTTTAGTTTCTGAGGAACTTAGGGGGCCTGCCCCTTAGCTCAGTTCTTTAAGTGGCTGCTTCCACAAACCTGTCAGGCTCAGGTGGCTGTGGTTTGATCCCCACAACTCAAGCCAGCCAAACCTACCCTGAAGGCATTCGGAGTAAAAAAAAAATCCTTCTGAAGAACTGCCAGTCTGTTTTCCATAGTAACGGTAGCATTTACTTTCTACCAGCAATGCAAAGAGATTCCATTTTTTCATGGAATATCGTTTTTAAAAGAATTACAAAAGTAAGTTTACCTTTTCTTTCTAAATTCATGAAAATAGCTATTGTTTTTTTTTTTTTTTTTTTTTAGCTATTGCTTTTTAAAAACACAAATAGGCCAAAGGAATAAGTCACTCCATGGAAATATTATTTATATTTTATTCTTAAAATCTACCCATTCTAAGATGAAATGCCTTCATCTTTCTTACTTTTTATTGGCAATTGCATTATGAACTATCTTATTATATATCTCTTAATGTGCCTTTATTGGTAACTTTGAGTTATTATTTGACTTTTTGTATCAAGTCATATATAACCAAAATGTTGTATCAAGTAAGGATAATCAAAATGAGTCCTAGTTTGAGGACTTAATACCTTGTAGAAGTTCCTGATACCCTTCTAGATTCTACCTATTTCTTATATGTAACAAGCATTGACAAAGATGTTTGAAATATTTAGAAGCCAAACTTTCCCCCCATGACATTTAGAGGTGATTTGAAACGATTAAAAGATTCTTTATAGTTGAGGCACATACTTAAATGTATAATCCTCATATTTCAACCTTCAGTGAATATATTTAATTAGATATTTACAGTATCTAATTTTGTAGAGTGGTAGTTTTGTGAGTTAAGTCATTTCATTAATTTGAGATGATGTTACTTAAAATAATGAGTTGAAAAGTAATTTCCCTTTTTGCAAAAGCTCTAAAAGTTTAGAAAGTCAAATATTCCTATTTGACAATTGAGGAATATAAGTTTATATTATACTATTTGGAAAATAAATGTCCTGCCTCCCCAGAAAGTAAGCACACTTTGATATTAAAAACAGAGATTAGTTAAATCATTTATTAGATTTTTCTGATTCTTCAAACATCTGAAGAAGCTAAATCTTGTTGCTGCCATTGTTATTTTTATGAGCATCAGTTTTTCTCCTATTGGATCTGAATGATCAAATGTATTTTATTTTTACAATTGCATCTCTTCATATGTATTAATAAATATCAAAAATTTTTTCTTGAAGAGAAGGCTCCGTTTCCTTTAGTTGCAACAGGGCAAATTCATTTTGTTTATCTTATGCAGGACCGCAGTAGGATGTTGTGAAACCTTATGACTCGGCACATATTCAAACCCAGATGTCCTGGAGTGATTTTACAAATACTCTATTTGATGTGTTTAATGATTCTAGCTCAAAGAAATACAGATTGTTAGGGCTGAAAGTAAATACATTGATCTAGTCTAATCCTTTGGCTTTATAGAAATTCAAAGTCTGAGAAAGGAAACAACTTAGGTAATACAATTCATTCATTTAGTAAACACTTACTGTGCCTGCCTTATCCCATATTCTGTATTAAGTTACAGTAAAACGGAAATAGTTCCTGCTTGAGAGGAACACACAGGATCTCAGTAGTGTGGAATGTGGAGTGATCTAACCCCTGTGCCTTTACCTTTTTTGCCACAGTTGATTCAGCATATCTAGCTGTCATGAACCTTGCTTCCTTCAACATGCCTTTCAAACCTGCATGGTCCACTAGGAAATGGCTATCCCAATAAGGCTTGTGACTAGTCACAATTACCTGCTAAAGCCCTGTTATTGTCAGAACCTAAGCTCGTGTTCATGAAGCATGAGCCCTTTTTTTTTTTTTTAACCATAATGTGCTGAGTTGTATGCTTTTTGGCTAATGTTCTTCTTTTTCACAGTTCTGAAGATATTATAGAAATCTTGCCAGGGAGATAGCTCAGCAGCTTAAGTGTCTGCCTAGCATGTGCAAGGTCATGAGTTCAATCCCTGGTACCAAAACAAAAAACAAAAAGAACGTAATATTTATATCAAGTTGATGGTTTAGTATTTGTATTCCAAAGCATATTGATAAAGCTGAACTATAGTTTTAGGTCACTTTTTAAGAATTACCCTATTTTATTTTTAAAAAGAAATCCTAGACTATGTATAATAGATATGATTTGACTAATGATCACAGTACTATGCAGGTTTTAGGTATTTTCTTGGGCAGAACATGGTTTCATTTTATTTTCCTACAAAGAGACACTAAAAGGCAGTGTAGTTAGTGCTTAAGAATATAGCTTTGGCATCCCAATAGCTTGGGTTTGGCATCCCAATAACTCTGCCTTATGTAGCTCTGCACATGTGTACCTGTGCCTGAGAGTGACAGCAAGAGAAAGAAAGACTTGCCCATGTAAATAAATGTCCTTAAGTTTCAATTCCTACCTATATAAAATGAAAATAAATATTATCTACTTCATAGGATTATGAGGCTCAAGTGAGAACTATGTAAAGCACTTAATCTAGAATTGGAAACCGTAACTACTTATCACTGCTAAAGTTTAAATTTCATTAGGACAGGGATTTGCATTTTATTTGGTTTTCTATTTTCAGCACATAGATGCATACCTGGTATTTAGACGTAAACGATAAGTTTTTTAATTGAATTTTTTTGTTTGTTTTATTTTTTTGAGATAGGTTCTTGCTATATAGCTCATGCTGGTCTTGAAGTCAATATATAGCCTAGGTTGGCCTCAAATTCGCTGCGGTCCTCTTGCCTCAGCCTCCCAAGTTGGTGGCATTACAAATATGCACCACAACATTTGCCTTGAATAAATGAATTGTTGTTACCTGAAAAAATTCAGTACTGCATATAGTTATTTAAGATCTTAGGTGATCTTCAGACTAGATAATCTTACAAAAACTTATAAAAATTTTCTACGTTGGGTTGCTCCTATTCTGAGAAAATAAGCTTGTGTGGCTGGTAGATCCTAGATAGTGATAATCAACATTGTAGAGCTTTCCTG